AACATGCACATGGTCATCAACTGCATGTGTTGGTGATGATGACAATACGAAATGTGGGGGAAAGGGATATGCACATGGTCATCAACTACATGTGTTGGTGATGATGACAATATGAAAATGTGGGGGGAAAGGGATATGCACATGGTCATCAACTACATGTGTTGGTGATGATGACAATATGAAAATTATGAGGAAATTCTCATTGGTTTCTGTACACTTTTATAACTAGCTTTGGAAACTCCCGAGCTGAGGAAAGCGAACATATATTCCTACTCCAACACTTCCAAAAATAGGGTAGTACCCACCGCATATTGACGATATAATCATACTCAAGTTCTAAGATAACCAAAAGTTGCTGGAAGTGTGGTATGGAAATACCATAAATTCACCTCCGTTTTCTTTCCTGTGATGTTCATCGCCTTTCTGAAGAAGATTTAAAATTTCAGCTCCGCTTGAATTGGTCATAGTAGCAATAAGAAGAATGCCTATAGCAAGCACCAAGATAACCTTGCTTCTCTGTAGTTACTGCTCCAGTGAGGCTTCCATATCATCCTAGGAGTAGTAGTAGTAGTAGTAATAGTAGTAGTAGTAGTAGTAGTAGTACTAGTACTAGTAGTAGTAGTAGTAGTAGTAGTAGTAGTAGTAGTAGTAGTAGTAGTAGTAGTAGTAGTAGTAGTAGTAGTAGTAGTAGTAGTAGTAGTAGTAGTAGTACTAGTACTACTAGTAGTAGTAGTACTAGTAGTACTAGTAGTACTAGTAGTACTAGTAGTAGTAGTAGTAGTAGTAGTACTAGTAGTAGTAGTAGTAGTAGTAGTAGTAGTACTAGTAGTAGTAGTAGTAGAACCGAGCGAACACCATCATCATCACTTGAAACCTTCCTCAACAACGAGCAATACATGATTTAATAATCATCACTTCTTCTTCTTCTTCCAGTTGCCCTCAGGGGCAACTACCTATTCCTCCTCCAACCGCTGCTACCATCGGGATGGCTTGGTGCTACATCATAATAAAGTTGTTAGTAAATGCATAATTGAGAATTTCTAAGAGACTCAAGTTTCCAAGAGATCATCAAATGCTACCGTTCTTCTGTAGTGGCGCAAACAGACGGTGTCACTAAACTTGGATGCGTATTGTCAAACTTGTGTGCGTATTGTCAAACTTGTGTGGTTTATTGTCATTCTTGATTGTGATATATTCTGCCGGTGTCAAACATGAATTCTCACTGTCAAACTTGGTTGTAACTGAGGAAACAAGTGTCAAACATGGATTCTCACTGTCAATCTTGATTGTAACATAGTTGAACTTTGACAAACTTGGTTTTCATTGTCAATCTTGATGGTAACATAATTGAACTTCGACAAACTTGGATTCTCATTGTCACTCTTGATGGTAACATTGTCATTCTTGTCTGCTCACTTGTCAAACTTGCACGGGAAATGGTGTATAGACGTAACAAAACGAGAAGCAAACCGACAAAGTAACAATAACAAATTGTACAAAGAAACAGAAAGGGAAGAAACTATCGAATGCTCAGATGTTAGCCACAACAATGAACATTATAGCTGAGTTTCCAGGAACACCACGTGGCGGTCTCTGAGCTCGTTCCCATCTAACAGTAAATCTCAATACATTCGTTCTTGAACTAGCCCCATAAATGGACCTTCATTCTAAACGTGGTTTAAGCGGCAGCAGAGCAATGCAGCCTTGTGACCAGCCTTACTTTCCCCCTCACTCTTGCTTCATCATTCAGCATCGGCTCAAGGCCTTTCTCGAGTACTAACACATCAGATGGCTTCACGTGGAAGGATTCTTGATCCGGTCCGAGACGTCCAGGTTCTTTGCTTGATGCTAAATTCTCCAGCCTGTCGCGACTCGCGACTCGCGAGTCTCGACAGGTTGGAAAATTTAGAGAGACTCGAGACTGTCTCTGAAACGACGAGGCTTGCGAATTTCTATGCCTTCGGCTTAACGGGTTCGCTGGTTATGCAATGCATAATATGCACGAGAGGCGTGGGATCATAATCTGGAACTGGTCGCTGGTGGAACGCTAGGCCAACAGTGACTGAACCGCCTACTTTGCCTTCGTTCTGAGGTATCAGCGTCAAAACCTGGAAAGAAATTTGGGGTTCGGAAGGACCCGGAAAACGGTTGAATAGAAAGGGTTGAAGGTCGCACCGCGACCTTCAAGCCCGACTCTTCATGGACAAGCCTAGCTTGTCTCCAGACCCACGTGTTTCGAGTGTAGTAATTTAAAGGGC